GCCGCGATCCGCCAGCTCCAGACGATCGACATCTGTCCTCGGCCTCGCGGGGGTTAGATCGGAGTTTCCTCCACCCAATTGTCGTGCTGCCCGAGCTAGTCGCGGCCGGCCGTCGAAACATTCGTCCGTCCGGCTGTCCGGCTGTCCGGCAGTCCGGCTGGCTGGAAGCTGGAAGGAGTAGTTATGGGGGTAGAGCGAAAGAAGGATGGACGCATCACATCGAAATCTGGACCCGGACTATGTGCTCTGCCCCCTCCGCAGCTTTGAATTGGCCCGCAAGCGAGGGCCAATGAGGGCCAGCGATTCTCCCATCTCGTCCCGGATTCCTCGCCTCGACAGCCCCGACGATGGAACCGGCTCATAATGACCCAAAGCCCCCAGCGTCAAGAAATGCCAAATCTCAGCCCCGCCTGTCTCCTCTTCTTCGCCCAAGCCCAAGCCCTCCCCCACCCCCAACGCCCTTCGGTCCTTCTCGGGGAGAACTTTGCTCCAAGAACCTACCGAGATGGCAACATCGGCGGGTCCGATGATGGCCTTCTGGCTAAGCCCCTGAGATAGCGTTTGAAAATAAAGAATGAAGCGGATAGACGGATTGACGCTCGCTCGGCGCCATTGGACAGAGCCCAAGCGGGGGTAATGGATCGTAGAGGAGGAAGAGCCCCTTGGGTGCGCTTGACGCTTTTGACCGAGGACCGGCATCCAGCTGGCCCCGGGAGCGGGAGCACGTCACAATCGCGTCCCTCGTACATACATGCATGGAAGGTAAAAGAAGCCCGGGGGCTATCGAAGCGCCACTTCCGGTCCGGTCCGTGCCTTCTTTCCTTCTTTCTTTCTTTCGGTCGGTCGGTCGCTTTGCTTCGCTTTGACGGGGTTGGGGCTCCAGTAGCGCCATCTCCCCCTTCTTCAATGCCGCGGACTGTTCACGTCGACATGCATCAAGCCCAAGCCCCTCCCCCTTCACTTCAACCCTGCAGAGGTTCCGCCTCCATCAATGTCGTCGCGATCCTGCGATGCGAGATACGAGAGACACGAGCGCGCGGGGGCTGCAGATTCGTGGCTTTTCCGCCAATTTTCCCGCATCACATCGGCCCCACTCCCACTTCCCCTCCCATCGAAACTATCACAGCTACGAGCTGTCCGCTTACCCACTCGCTCGAATCTCTCTCTCTACGGGTCTTCGCAACAATCCGCGAGAGAACACATGTCCTCGCGTCGTCCTCGTCCGATGTGCGAGATTCCGATCCGAAATGAGCATTCGGCAATTGGCCCTTCTTGTGGCCGAGTCGCTCCCTTCTGTAGCCCCTCTTTAAAACGTTTGACTCCTTTCTCGAGCGCGAGATCACGAAAAGCCCCGCTTTGACAGTTTAGCTGAGGCCCGCTCGTGCCGCTCGGCGAGTTCTCTCAAGGTCCACGGTCGGGTCCGCAGTCTCGATCGGGATTGTCGTTCGTGTGATGGGAAATCTGTCTGTTGGGGCTAGAAGAAGAGGAAGAAGAGTGTGTAGACCGATTCGAGATGTCGTCGCCCAATGGTTTGGACACCTTCCGACTCGGTGGCACATGCGGCGCCATGTTTCGGTGCGCGATTCTCACGTTGGAGTGACTTACATGCGCACATTGTGCTCGTCGTGGCGGTTTCGGCCCAGAGCATTACGCCAGAGTTTAAGCTAAATGCGGAAGAAGACGGAATATTGCGGAAGAAGCGACTGATTCACTCGGTCGGAACGGGGGGCACCGCAATCTCGGGGGACTACGATTTACGAGATGGGCGAGCTGGGAACAAATTGCATCTGAGGCCGATTTCCAGGCGAGGAAGCTAATGGCATCAAACACTCGATGCCGCCGTACGCGGGCAGGGCGAAAAGCCGTTGAACATCAGAGGCAACGAACGAAGCGTCTGGGTGATCGTCATCAAGCCCCTCCCTCGCCCGTCCTCCCACAGAGTGCGAGCGAGGTGGGCCTCGCTCGACCTCGCTCGCGCCAGGATCCAAAGCTGTACCTCACGATGCATGCTCTCAGCATGTCACGAGCATCGGCGGATGACTTGCTCGGCCGACCTCGGGAAGGAGGAATCACTGGCACCCGAGTCTCGACGAGAATTTCATTCTCAACTCTTCTGCTGCTGCTGCTGCCGGGGCTTAAGGTGTCAGTCAGCCCCCGTGGCCCGAGTGTCAGCAGCGAGTGCGCTCTATACGCGTTATCGCTTACTTCGTCCGGGGCCTGGAACTGGGACGCAATGAAACAGCTAGAGTAAGAAGGATTCATTCATTCGGTCATGGATTCTAGCTCGGGGCTCAGGGGCCATGGGGCCACAGCGAAGTCAACCCTATCTTTCCAGCCCAGCCATGTCGCATCCCTCATCTGCCTCCCATTCACGGCACTGTGTATGCACAGGGATCTCCACGCACGCCGGAGATCGCCATATAATGTTTATCTACTGGATTTGTGCATCGTTGGCCAGCTTTCTGTGCGTCGAGAGCGAATCTACTGTACGATCTCGGTTAGTGGAGAGCTTCGTGTCCTGAAGGTCTCGCACTCGAATGCACTCTCTCTCTCCCTCTCTCTCTGTCTGTGTCTGTCTGGTGGAAGAAAGGGGAAAGTGGTAAGAGCGAAGACCGAGGGCAAGAAGCCCAGCCCTCTTTGGGACTGTCGGGGTGGGGGGACTGTGCTTGGGATTTGGGCTTGGGCTTGGGCTTGGGCTTGCACTCGAGGGCTCGGGGGTGCTGGGGGTGGGGGCTGGCTCTTTTGAAAACTTCCTTGTGTCTGTCTCGTGGGAGAAAGGGGAAAGTGGTAAGAGGAAAGACGGGGGGCAAGATGCCCCGCCCTCTTGGGGACTGTCGGGGCTTGGGGGGACTGTGCTTGGGCTTGGGCTTGGGCTTGGGGGGCTCGGAGGGGGCTGGGGGTGGGGTGTGGCTCTTTCCCAACGACCCGGTGCTTAAGGAACTCTACGTGGTAACGAGAAAGGGAGAAAAGTCGTCGCCGGTAGCGCTCGTCCACCACATGTGCGAGAGGGGGGAGGGGAGCTCGGGTGATGGAACTGCTGCAGGGGGGACGAGGATTGACGGATGGCGATGGGCCTGACTGACATCGACCCCTGGGGTTGTGGGGGGTGGGGGGGACCATTCGAGCCATAAGTTAGCACCATGCGTAAAGATGTACGGATGAGAGCAGATGACGGATGGGATTGCAAGGGATGGGACGGGAGCCCGTCAGCCAGAGGAATAATTGAGCCTAAAGTGGGGAGAGTCAAGCGCGGACTCGTAGCAGTCCTTGGCCCCCGGTAGCTGAGCTTCTAAATACAGTCTCGGTGGGTCTTTACTGCAATCAAGGATTGTGATATATTTGTCTAGCGAGCAGGACGAGCACGAGCACGAGGGAAGAGAGAGAGTGAGAGAGAGAGAGAGAGCGTTGATGCAGTTTGCTTGTTTGCTTGTTCAATCTCCTTCTGAGTGTGTTTTCCAGTATCTCTCACATACTCTCTCTCTGCTAACGATTCTCATTGCCTGGGGAGCTGCAGCTGCAAGCCTTACTGATTCTCGCAGACACCAAATGCTCTGAAAATTTAGGGAGAGTGTCATTGATTCCAGAGGAAGGAGAGCCTTCCTTCTCCTCGCCATAGCATAGACACAGAGACAGACACAGATAGAGAGAGAGGGAGAGGAAGAGAGGGAGAGAAAATTATGATTCGGCCCGTGGGGTGGATGTACAGTGAGTATCTCGTTGCCAGAGCTCCTACACTTGTAAGCCAACCAGTCAACCTTTTGCAGATTAGCTGTCAGCTCTGATCTCGCCGAGCAGGACCTTTTGAGGAGAAATTCTCCTCCCAGACTCCCCCGCCTCTGCATAGAAAACTGCCAATCCTCACCTCGCCACACTCTTCTCCTTCCTTCCTTCCTTCCGAGTGAGCGAGGATTCCAGTGAAACTTCGCAACAGCTGCCGGGGATTGAATATGCAGCATGTGAATGTGTCCTCGTGCAGCAGCACACCATAACTCCTCCACTCCCGGACCTGCACATCATATCAATTCAATTCCTCCCTTCCTTCTCGGAGCTGCCTGCCCGTCATGACATGCCGGCGTTTCATCCTCATCCTCGTCCTCTCCAGAATCGTTCTCATACGACGCTCACCTTTTCCGCCGAATAATAATGCACGTAATATCCATTGTTCCCGTCCCCCTTCCTTGCTTGCCCTTGACTCTTGCCTGATCTTCCCTCCCCATGCCATGCCATGCCAGGTCGTGCACCCGAGTGACCCACTGACTTTAGCTTAGCTTCGAGCTCCAAATCCAAACCGTCTCTATAAAAAGCTCGACCAAACGCATGCAGACGCTACAAGTGTTCGGGTGAGCCTGCGAGTGATTGCATGCAGCGCGTACTGTTCAGCTTCTGAGTTTGCTTTTGTCATTCCTCTCTCCTCTCCTCGTCAAGCCCGAGCCTGGAATTTGTGTGCCCCGGGTCTCAGAGGTCCGAGTCCAGATTGACCTGTCTGTCTGTCCTACGAGGTTCGAGTGCACTCGAGCAGAGATCCAGGCACCACCAACAACCCACCAGTTGGGAAATGAACGGGGCAGATGTGGTCCCCGGGCTCTTCTCTCTCGCTAGACACTTTCTCTTAACTTTCCCCTGAAGCTTCACTTCAGTCTACGTCACAGACTCATCCTTGAGATGGCTGGGCGTTTGCCATCAGGCAGTCCCACGTCCTATTATACATCATGATTGGTCACATTATCTCCCTCACACAGCGACAACATTCCTCAGCTTCAGGGATTGAGTCGCCAGTGAAGTGAAGCAAGGAGGACGGTGAGAGTGGTTTGCTCTGCAAGTGCCAACGAAGGGCATCTCCCTCACCATCGCCCTTGGTCTCTTCAGTGCCATGCTCGGTGGGAAGAGTCTCTGCCCGGGATATGAGACTTGTGGGACTCTCACTTTTAATTTGCCCATGACATCCACTCATTCTTCCGGGAGACAAGAGCTGAGTGGGGTTTATGTGCTTCGAAACAGGTGTAGTGAGAGTGGAGGACAGTGAATTTACATCACAAACTAGAATATTGCCCAAAGTACAATTCCTTACCTGGGCAAGGTATCAATCACGTCAAACACACTGGACAAATTTATGAAGCTTCTTACATCGACCAAATTGAGCGATTTCATAGCTCAGCTCTATCTTGCCCAAAGTATACGTCCCACCCAACTGCTGAATTTTCTCAAGAGGCACCTCTTTACATCATATAAGGTGCATGAGTCAATCTCGCTCTAAGCAAACTTCTGCGTTTCTACGGAACTGAGAACAGAGGTTCAAGCAGTCAAGTTGTGAAGTGGGTTCCAACTCTTGGAACACCACATGATTGATTGACCATGCCCTTGATCAAACCTCTAAGGTCCACGGGTACCCTACTTTTACAAGAATCCAGAAGAATGGATAATGACCGAATTCATCTTTCACGAGGTAGGAGGACTGGCCCCAGAGGCCCCAGACATGTACTGGTTTTGGTCAACATACGGCCGTCCAGCTTGCGGTTTAATGCTATGGTACACAGTTGACGACATCAGAATCCTGGTAACATTGACAGCTCTGCAATGCCCTTGGGTAAACTAGCAACTCTCTTCAGCAAAACTAATCTGTTGTTCCGTAGTCGTTCGTCGTCCTGCAAGCAAGCAAGCAAGCAAGCATCACCATCAACGACAGAATCAGGGTCATGAGGCATCAACAGCGAATAGTAGCTCTGGAAAGGCTGCTAACAACAAAAAAGCGCACGAGGACGCACCGCCATGACAAAGACTTTGTCAAAAAATGCCTCCAATGGATCCACCAACTTCAGGGAGGCCTCGAAAAATACATCAACTCCAACACCTGAAAGATCAAACATCAAGAGTCACAAGGTTGATCACACACATCCCCGTTGCAGAAACACTGAACTGAAGTACGATGAAAAAAGTGTGACCTAGCGCAGCTCAAGCATCGCACCACTGAGAAGATGTGTTGGAAGGGCAACGAGAAAGAGGTCATACATAAACATAAGGAGGTGTTCCTATACTATTAAATTGTCCTGCAAAAACTATCACATACCTTCATGAAGAAGAGCTGCTGTTTGATTGTACGCATCCCACAAGGCTTTCTCTTCCTCGACTTCAAAGTAGGTCTCATCGATCTTCAAATGAAAATCTTCGTTAGGATCTAGTACGAAGTCTAGAACGAGCATTCTACAAACAGAACTAATGGTGCCCACGGGTGTCAAGTCTAGTAACCTACATTCGCACTTTTCTTACAGCAGATGATGAGTTATTGAGTGAATGAGCTTTATTATCTAGTTTGAGAGGTGAACTATGATCTGGGCTGAAATCATTTGAAGGATGGAGATTAGAGAGAATTGAAAGCTTTCCCTTTAACCTAATCGAAGCATGAGCAAAAAATAATCTACTTTGTGATTACCTGCCAAGAAGGATCTATTTCTTTCCCACGAACAATCCTGGTAGGCCGGGCATATGCTGCCACAATTTTCGACAACACATCTCCTTTCGCCAATTCCTCCATCTTAACAAAACGCAAACAGGAAAGTCATGTCAGTGAGCTGAAGTCTTGGTATTGAGTTAACCATTCACTTTGTTGGCAGAATGGCGTACATTCCTCATTAACTCTTCCGTTCTAAGTGGGCCTTCAGGAATTTGCAATGCTGGAACTGCCATGCACCACTGGCAGTTCCATGGCAGAAAGAAAGATACAGGAATTCTTAAATCTAGCAAAGAAGCTGAATATGACGATGCACTGCAACGCTTGCAAATGAAGCCCAAAACTGTTACAATACGACAGCTTGTCCCCTTTCTTAAGAGCTTCCACCCCTACTTTCTATTGGGTGCATTGATGTAACATTTTGACAATGGTTCACTGAGATGGAAGTAGCCAGCGCATTTGATGTATGGCTCAAATTTGCTTTTGGTCTTCTTATAGGGACTCACTTGAGATACAGAGCGGGCGGCAAGAGTTGGTATACTGCTACGTTCGGAGAGGACAGAGCGTACTAACTCCACATTCGCACCATCATCAATCTGTTCCGCCCAGCAAGTAAAGGACATGTAATCAGCAATTAATCAAAGCACCCACTTAAATACAAACGAGCTGTGGTATCCGGAATCTCGGGGGTGCCAAGTAGTAAGGCAAAAAGGATGAGAATACCCAATCAAGTCGTGCAAGGATGAAACTATAGGGGTAAGATATAGCTAAGCCCCAATAAGATCACAAAGGGAAATGTGTCTGCACCTAAGAAATCTGATCTATCTAAATCAAACGGTCTACGTAATACAGAAGCATCTGAAAAAGCATCACCAACATAATTACTCTCTTATGAATGGCACAAGCTAGTGCTTGAGCTATCTATGTAACAATGCTAGAGGTTTCTGTAGAGCTATGGACACATGTTGTCTAAAACATGTTGAAGAAAGCGATAAGCTATGCTCCATATCCGTGATAGATAAACTCTCAGTCAGGGGTGGAGAGAGTGTGGTTATACTGACCAGAAGCTGTTCAAATCTTCGAGTTACAAAAGTAGATACCTGGGACACATAAATATTTTTTTAATTAATACTTGGGTGACCGTAATCTTGAAATCGGATGAATAAGGAAGGTAGGAGCCAGGCATTTTTTATGCTTTTTCTTTTGTTTTCCTCTTACCTCTTGCAATGTTGATTCTGGAACAGGCATAGGCAGGGTATCGGCTGCTATCTTCACAGCTTTATCGAGGTTCAGATTCTTGTCATTCTCCACAAGGGCTTGAACCTGGAGGCGGCAATGAAACCCAGATGAGCGAGCGACCCAGCATTCAAATACATCATATTCTACTCGACACTTCAGAATTGTTTAGGTATTCAACTTGTGCGGGCATTGTCAAATACAGGTACAGCAGCCAATAATGAATCCTTGATGAAACGAAGGGACTGCAGAGATGTTACATTGGAGAGAGAAAGAGCTCTTGGAGATTCTCTCAGGAATGCATGAAGTTTAAAGTTTGTATTTGTAAATGTATTCTCTAAGAGAGGGCAGGCAAACAACATACAGTGCACGACTAAAAGATGGTAAACCTTGCTTACCAGGCCATAGGCACTGCGGCGCATCCCGAATGGATCTGCTGATGCCGTTGGTTGACAACCCACAGCGAAAAGGCCAACTAAACTGTCCAACCTGCGCCCGAAGAAAAGCAATTCAGAGATATGCTTGCACAGGTCACGTAGCTTTCGATGTGACTACATTGAAACTTTCTATAGAAAGTCACAATACTCATCCACGTGAAGTTATCAAACTACAGCGCATCGGATTTCATGCGTATTCGGTCGTGGAACTGACCTGTCTGCAACGGCCAGGAGGACACCTGCGTCTGAATGCGGAAGAATGTCGTCAGCGTATCGTGGAAGGACGCTCTCGAAAACGGCCTCTTGGACCTGCCAACAAATACAAGAATACTGAACACACTTGCAGTGACAACTTCGAAGACAATGACGAGGGGAACATATATCCCAAAGATATCATTCCACAACCTCTGGCAATCCCTTCAACTTCGTCAGTGATGCAAAAGCAGAGTCGTGGATAACAGAACCAGTCACGTGATAGAGCTGATTTACAATCAAAGGGCTAAAAACTTTGCTTCAGAAACTTTGCTTTTACACGGTGCTAAAAGACCGAGGTCGAAACAACTTACTGCACTGCTGTAGCCTTCCTTTGAGGCATAGTGCCTGCCCATGATGCCCGCCAGATTCGTGAACTCCATGACCATGGCAGTAGCTAAGTCCGCAGAAGCCAGGGGAGCTGCTTCTTGAGCGGTAGCTATACTGGATTCATCGAGACCCATAGCCAATCCCAAGGACCGCACCATCTTCTCAACCCTCATACTCTTATCAAGCATTGAGCCCAGCTTTTCCTGTGACAGATAACAAACATATGAATCACTCACGATAGGGTAAAAATTCATGAACAAAGGTCTCCACCGTTTGTTTGATGCTTTGCCATAAGCTGAAGTGTGGAGAATAGAGCAACAATGCTGTTCGAAAAGTATATTCCCTCTACCTGAAATGTTATGCCCTTCAAAAGTGGGCGGAAGTCCGCCAACTTCTTTGATGTATCTGATTCATAGAAAAATCTTGCATCCTCGTACCTGGCCCTGAGATAGTATAAGAGGACGTGTCAGCTTGAGACTGACCATACGATCTCTCTGGATTCATGAGGTTTGATTGTCATGTGCTGCTATCCAAAAACGAGGATGGTATCATCTCCTTCCACTCTAATGAAATCCTATCAAGCGCAAACATGTGAATGTCAAGCAGAACTTACCTTAGAACGGCTTCATTGCCTTTGCGAACAATATCTTCATCAATTTTTCCATTGGCAACAGCTATGAAGGCTGGTAGGAGTTGTCCAGTAGCTTCACTAACCACAGGAAAATAGCGCTGATGCTTGCGCATCACCTTCACAGCCACAGATAATTTTGTCAAAGTTCATCCCAGCAGTATGAGCTTCGCGATGTTGTATCACGAAGGTTTTTTGAGAGTAAAATAGACCTTTGGCCATGCATTGAAATCTGATGAAAGATTGAACATCCTTACTGTCGTCAAAACATCTGCTGGAAGGGTCAAAAAGGCCGGATCAAATCGTCCAATAAGTGGTGCCGGGGACTCCACTAAGTTGGCAACCTGGAAATAATCGGGAGAGGTTATTAGTACTTGCGGGAAGGAAAAGATCTATTTGCGACGAATCTTTCTCATCAAAGATAAGATAAATACAATGTCTAAGAAAACGTGGTCTACAAAGATCGAAGGTCATAGTCTGCAATTCCTAATACCTCATCGAGAAGACTGCCACGAGCTTCCGCAGGGATACAACCATTTATGCTTGCGGCTAGAATACTACTCTTGGCCCAAATGCTTTCTCGACGTTCCTGAGTAAAATAATAACAAGTGTTACCTTACAAGTGTTACAATCTGAGACCTATCCAAAGGGCGTGAAGCTGAAAAGCATCTGGACTATCAAAGCATCAGAAATCTGCTTCTTTCAAGGTAGACTCACCTTGACCTTTCGAGGTAGACTACTGAAACAATATAATGGTGAGACAATCCTTGCGATATAGTATCCTCTATTGTCGACGAGTTCAATCAACGAAGTGCACTAGATTAACAAAGAGTAGGCCCACAGTCTTGGGCGTAATATCACGCTACTCTAACGCCCAAATATTGGTGAACAAGGTAGACTTGAGACACGACAAAATTTACCTCCATGTTGAGAACAATGCCAGCCTGCTGTATTGAACTGACGTACTCTCCTGCTCTTTCGACCTATTGCAGAATAGCAAACTTCCCTGTCAGATTTTGAAGAGTGTAACTCGTGATGTTACGTAGCCTAAAACTAGAACTTAAACACATCGTAGATCCATGTCAGAATCTGTTGAGCAAGGGTACCTTCTTTCAGAAAAAACATCAGTGAAAAATCTCCCTGCACTAATAATTTCGCATTCTCACAGACAAACTATCTGCACTGGATGATCCAGGGGGTAACCTGAATCGTTGGTTGAGATGCATTGCGTAGCACTCGTGAGGTGTGGCCGCTGCAAACAAACTCATCATTCAGTATTTCGAGAAAACTGCTTATCCAACTTTAGTTTCTTCGTAGCCACAAGTACACCATTCAAGCTTCAAGGTCGTCCTCCTGGCTCTTTAGAAGCTTAGCGACTAGCCACATAATAGCATCAGACTCAATCTACATATGTGAGCTGACAAGCGACATACCTATTGACTCCAGCATAAGAAACCGGTACCAGTGTATCACCGAACAATGCTACTATCCACCTCAAAGGCCTGCTGTACGCAACCTGAAAATCGATGGTGCAGATCTTTAATGATCTATCTCAAGTCGATGCTTAATACGAAGACAAGTATAAGCATAATGATGAAGCCGTTCACAAAATAATAAAGGTGGTATCTATCATTGCTCAATAAAGCACTGTTGCTAACATAGGTCACACCTGTGAGTTCCACCGCATGGTCTTGGGAAAAGAAAGGTTGGAGATTATCTCAGGGAGATCCGCAGCCAACACCTGCAAGGAAATGAGATAGAGATACTTCAGCTCGTTGGGATAGAGGAGCATTGGGTACAACATGAAGCATGTACGTAGGATGATTATAATATGCAAAATAAATATTTAGTCCAGCCTGGTCCTTTCATTTATCAATACCAGAATTCTCCCGAGCACCAACTCAAATATGCTAATAAGGTCCACTGATATTTCTCTTGTAATGCAGTTAGAGGGGCCAACGTGGGCAACTTAGACATAATGATGTATTTATGCATACCTCCAAGGTCGGTCTGCTTTGCTCCTTGACAACAGCATACACATACTCCGTCTTCCCTATACAGACATTTCGTGATCATGCAACACATTAATGCAAAAACAAATGCTCTTCATCCACGGTGAAGATAGATGACTACTAAGTAATAGCTCAGTAATGTGAAGATTGTTTCTTGCCCTAGAGCCCAGAAGTGTATATATGAAGTGCCAGAGAGCAAGAACAAATTCCACATTAATCACTTACCATCTATCTTAACGACAAGTTCCTCCACTGTCACATTATTCCTCTTGCAGAAGCCTTCAGCGGCCTACGGATAGCAACTCACGGCTGATCAATCCGGGTGACTGGAACAAAACGTCAATAAGTTCAGCAGCGAAGTGAAATGGGGAGTGATGATTACCTTTGTCGGCTTTCCGTCCTTGTCAAAGGCCTTCGTTGCCGGGGGTCCTCGCATCTCCTTCTCCTCGTCATCTTGTCGTGGAGCCAGATCCTCAGCTATCACCTTCACAGATGCAAGCGAACTGAGTGCCCTTCTTACACACATGCAAGCTGACAATCTTAACCTTATAGAAACCAAATGATCAAATTCGACACAATTTGCAATCACAACCAGTGCTAATGGAACACGATATGAGGAGTTGGAAACAAACCACAAGCCGGCGAGGAGTTCCGTCTACTGAAACCCTTCCGTGTTGGAGTCTCCTGCTTTTCAAGAACTGCGGTATGGCTGCTTCTAACTGCAACCAGAGCAATGGTGGAACAGTTTAGGCGATGATCTGCTCGGGTCACGTCAGGTCCATGTGGCATTCTGTCCGCATAAACCAAGATATATTAATGGCGTGGCGTTATCCTAACCTGAGAAACAGCGCTGACAACATCTTGGGGAGGAAGCTCTTCAGATCCAATTTCAAGTACAAAAGTCTGAGGAGTATCAATCTGCATCCACAAATGATTCAACATGTTAGACCACCCAAAGCTCTAAACTGAAAAATTTGTTTCTCAAAGGTAGACAGCCTACTACGACCTCCATACTACTGTACTCAAGATCGCCGACTGCCTCTAGGAATGTATCACCTAATACCGTCGCCTAGCTTTCCTTCGACACAAAAGCACTGAGATTGGAGACACAAACAAGAATTAGAGTTTATGTAGACCGGTTATAATCTCCGGTCAATTCACAGACAGAATTCTGGTACCTGAGAAGCTTTTTGGTCCACAGATGGGTGAGATAATGCTGGCGACTCTTCCCACACTCCCATCGGATAATTCAGTCTCTCGCGAGTCTCCACCCATAGTTGGGCACATTGGCGTGCCAGCCTGCTCACGGGCACAGTGAAAGTTTAGAAAATTATGAACTAGAATTGCTACGAATGGAACGCAACTCACTCAAAGACAAAGAGGAAACAGTCCAAAACTGATATAACAATCTAGGCTCACAGACCGCCGCGGGGTTTGGAGTGTATACAGCGCTATAAGAGGATCCTTCATCGTAGGCTAGTGACATATACAACAACACAGCGTGATTCGGTTGTCAGATATCTGGCGATTCTTTCTTTTCTAGGTTTAGACCATTCATCAGGAGTCCCCTCGACGATCATAGACGAGGAGAAAGGCAAGACGTCAAGACACGCGGTACTTAGATGTTGAGATGTAGTCCTCCGTAGTTGATAAGAATTCATGTAATAAGTGAAACTTACGCGCGCATTCTACCGAAGAATCTGGCTCTTTCTGTAACTCCAACAGCACCTCGAGCATCCAAAAGGTTGAAGGCATGCGATGTCTTCAAAACATTATCATACCTGACCAGTGTGAACATACCAACTTCAGCAATCTGCGCAAAGACGAGGATAAAAATGACGAGGTATGTGGCCTTCTTCAGGTCCAACATCTTTCTCAGCAGAAACAAACAGAAGAGGGTGTTGGAAATTCATGATGAAAATACATACGCAGGTATAGCTAAGCCCTGTGCTAGTAGATCTTGAGCCTCTTCAGCGTAAAGCTCAAATCGCTTCTGTATCCTCTCGACATTTGCGAGGTCCATGTTGTAAGCACTCATCTCCTTCCTGCAACAGAACGATGATTAGACGAAGAATTAACAGTTCCCGTCGAGGCATCAATCCTCGCCGAGCATAAATGCGATACTTCTCCAGAGTCCCGCAGAGAGCTATCTAACTTCTAACGAGGAATTCAAGAGGAGAATCCGAAGCACGTCGAGATAGTCAATAGCAGAATTGGTAGTGAAACGACGGTGAAATATTCATCACTAAAAGATGTTCTGAGGAGACGGTGCGAAAACCTACTCATTCTCCAAAAAGAGCTCTCCGTATGTTATTCCAGGGGCATACTGTATCTTCTTAAAGTGATCAACACCCTGCATCGAATAAAAACGTTCACGATCAAACCGTGACCATCTATTACTTTTCCTCCAAGTGCACCAAAAGTGGAAAACCAAGAAAAATCTCTCAAGTCAGATGTGTCTGGTCGACCGAGGAGATGAAACTGGAAGGCGGGACGTTGTTTAAACGAGTCTCGTCCTTACACGACATTTACTTTATATGCTCAAGAGAGAAGGCGGCTTATGTACGCAACACCACGCAAGTTTGAAGAAGTTGAGATTTGTCCAAAATGAGGTTTTCGTTGGTTGATTTTTTTCGGCAAAGAAATCCCATCAGCGGTAAAACGAGAACGAGATTTCCTAACCTGAAGAGACATCAAAATTCGCTCCAGACCGTAAGTGATCTCCACTGATACTGGAGTTAGGGGCAAGCTTCCAGCCTGCACAACAACGAAAAATATTAATAGGTTCTTCAAGATCTCTGCAAGGCCCGGCTTTTGGATCGAAAGTCTCAAGTAGTTCTTGAGCAGCAGTACAAGAAAAATCCACGCAACACAGCATGACTGTAAGCTTTCTGGGTCATGCAGACATGCACTTTACAAGGAAGCTTTGAAGGAGAAAATATCTCTTCAATCTTCAGAGGTCCTCGCAGGGTACCCCGGTGTAAAAGGGCGGCAGGACGGCAACTAAGCAAAAGAAGCCCTGTGACACTAAGATGGTAGGTGATCCTACCTTACCATCATCACACATGTGGGCACAGACGTCCATGAAACGACCCACATTTGAAATCAGGCCAATCCAGGCTGGTACATGATCGAAAGCTTGCCTGCTGAAAGTACGTGAACTGGGTAATCTCCATTCCGTCCATCCAAACCTCCCAGCCTAAGCCCCAAGCCCCAAGAACCTGCCACCCATCCACAACAGCAGCTAAGTCAATCCCTTCAATAAAAGATCAAACCAAAAAAAGCTTCTGCATGATCCATTTTATGTCTAGTCTCACACCATCTCATCTCATTCCATGTCCGATGTCAGCCGCACTCGACTAGCTCAAATGGTGCGTCGTTATACCGATGACTACTGTCTGCTTTAGGAGAAGAATATACACTTCAAATAACAAGCCAAGAAGTATTCAGTACTCAGAAAGGGTCATTAAAGTTACCGGGCTTTCCCAATTATCTTCGACAAACCGTACATCATGCGCCTTGATATCGATTCCTGCACACAGAAGACCAGCGGACAAGCTAAAGTCACCAGTTCTGGAAGACAATAATGAATTATAGTCGGACGATAATCAGCTTTAAACCAGGACCATGTGACCACTCTCGGACATTAGGAGACCACAATCAGATTCTTCGTGATCTTAAAAAACTGGTGATTTTTTTTCTCGTTTGAGTGGCTCCGGTACAAGTTGAAGCCACTCACCAAGAGCAGCAAGACTTCCTAGGTACAGCTCCTGTGAGTTCCCAGGATCAGGCTTCAGTATAACCTGCAGGCATAACAACGAATCGACTGTAACTCGTGGAGGAAGTAGTAATGCAAAGTAGACAGTCATGGACTAGTCAAACACATGTCTGTCCCCTATCCTACTGTTAATGGCTTCCACGTGTCGAGCAGGAAATGACAATAAACACTAGAAAGAGAGTTGTAGCTCACCTGGAATTGAGTATGGCGTTGTACTCTGTTGGGGTTCTCCCCATATCTGCTGTCATCGGGTCTAATACTTGGCTCCGCATAGCTGCATAAGGTTCAGGACCGAGTTTGCATCTCACGAAGTCAATGTCGATCTCATGAATCCAATGTGCCTATTCGCACGGAGAGAAGTCTATCGACAAATTCGCCCATTTCAACGAGCAGAAGAAGCTTTGCTGTCATGGACTACACCTCACGAGTAACCTCAATAGGCAGTAGGCCAGGGGCAAAAAGTCAACTTACGCAACATTCCACGGTTCGGGTCCGAGAACTCGCAAAAATGTGGCTGGATTCATAGTTCCGGCTCCCACCTGAATCCAGTCGTGCACTTAGTAATCAGCATGCCGATACCGAGGGCCTTTTAATATCTTCAGGTTGAGTGACAATCAGGACTCTCAGCGAACAAACAAACATTCACTGGGTTTCTTTCAGTTTCTTGTACAGACTTTAACTAGTTAGAGTGTATGATAATGGACATGTGATCAAGATCGTAGCGCATCTCACAAGTCATAGCCAGAAGCAGGCATTGACAGTTCGGAGTAAACAAGGTTTCGGTATTCTTGTGAATCCAGGATCATTTTCAATTTTACGGTATTCTGAGAGCTGACGACGACACACTAAATTTGATACTTGTTGAGAGCCCGCTTCTCGATATAAAACTTCGAAGAAATCGACTGTCCACTCACATCTTTAGAAAACGCACTAATATCTTGGATATGGAGGAATTGAGCTAGAGTTGTCGGGTAGAATTCAAGCATTGTCTGGCTGTTCTGCTTTAGCTATTGCTTCGTAAAAACGCTTGTGACAGTGAATTCAAGTTTTTCGTAGATTCAAAAGTTAAGCTTGGACAGCAGATGTGAACTCCACAATGTCTCTCCCAGACTCTTCAATTGTAATTTTCTGGAGCCGAAGAGAGAAGGAGAAACAGAGAAGAGATAAAGAAAGGCGGATCGCATTCACCTCAGTGTTACTTGACTGCATCACTGCACATCCCATTGAAGCCCAATATTCCTGTACTCGCAAAGCAGAGAGCAAAAGTTCAGCTGAAGGCGTGATGAAGCAATGTAGGGCACGAGGCTTCTGATGGAGGACGAGAACAATTGATAGGATTGTCTGAAAACGGACACATTCCAATTGACAGGCGGCAGAAAACTGCGCAGATTGTTCCACATTGTGCTTGATTGTTGCTCTGCCTGATGGCAACCAGAGAGGAGATAGAGCCAATTCGATAATGCCTGGGAGAATTCATTATCGTTAAAATTTTGTTCTCTTCGGTTCAAATTTGGTTCACCTGAAGGCGCTGAATTGCTTGCTGGAAGGTAGGAGGACTGATGTTGGCTTGAGGTTTCTTTTCGGAAATTTCGACAGCAGACTCGCTCAATCCAGCTCGGCTCACAGCAGCACAGCTCAGAGCACGTCGTCTCCCAGCGCGCTCCTTGACAATTTCCATGTCCACAAGAGGAGGCGGCACTCCGAGCACGCTGAGGCGACTCCATGGAGACGAAAGCTGGCGCACGGAAGAAATCCTTCGAACAATGCGCACCGAGCGACCAGCAGCAGCAGCAGCAGCCGAACCGTGACACGCAGCCCGGCCCAACAACAAACACCCTCCCAGCGCGCGCAAATTGTTCGCTGCTCGAGGCGAGGCGAGCAGCGAGCTGTGGGCCGCCATGGCTCCTCTCGTCCAAATCTCCCCTCACTCCTGCATCGACCGCCAAATCGATCCCCTTCCCCTTCCTCTTCCTGTCTCTCTGTCCCCTGCTAAAATCCTTTCCTCTCGTCTCCCTCCCTCCGGATCCAGCCTCGATGTGGGACAGTAACGGTCCTTCCACCCCCCCCCCCCCCCCCCCCCAAAGCATCCCCTGGCCTCGACAAGCCTCGTACTCATGGGAGCAACGAGTGTGGGTTCCCCTCCGTCCATCCGTTTGGACGTCTTATCTGTTGGCTTATCTGCAAGACAAAGCCTGAGTCTCGGGTTTGGTGTGTTGACTCCTTACTACCGTCAGTTGACAAAGCTCAGGCCCTGGCCTTGTCTCTCGATGCAGGTGATGGTTTTTATACTTCATTGCGCAAACTGGGAATGGGATGGGTATGGACATGGATGGACCTTGTTTGGCAAACGAGGTCCATGTGAGATCGTGTTCAGAGAGAGTGCTGTCTGTACTTGTAACAATGCAGGCAGTGTTGTGAGCTCGTATGCAGATCACGGCTTCGATTCCTTACAGACCGAGACACGTGCGGGCATGGAGCCTGGGTTCGTGCCGTACTATTATGCATGGGCACACAATGTAGTTGCTGTGTTGTATTGTGTCTTGCGCGTGCTGAGTTACTAACCACTGACAGGATTGGGACATGGAGATTTGCACGTCAGTCAGCTGCTGGTTCATGTGAGATATATATGTGAGTTTGAATCTTTGTGATGCGTCCTCACTCGACTCGACTCGACTCGACTCGACTGTGTCCTTGAAGTGCCAGAAGGCGACTGTCCTGTGCTTTGATTGATGCGTGTGATTTCGGGTTGTTTTTCCATAGCTAAAGTTGTACCTCTGGCTACTGTTTACTTTCCTCATGGAGTAGTTACTGCTGGTGGATATGATGGAATCATGGAAGATAACACCCCACCCCTGAAAGTCTTGCATGAATTGACGCCGGAAAGAACAGCTGCCCAGAGCATGGCCACAGTGCATCAATATTTTCGAACCTCTTGAACGTATAACATGAGATACTATTTTTCAAATGTGGCAGAAAGTAATTCGAACTCGTCTTGCAAGAAAGAGATAAGGGTTTTCTGTCAAAATTTCATGCGTCCACTCAAACTGGAAAATATGCTTTGTCGAAGCAGTTCGCTACCTGTCAAATCCTCAAGATCACATCATCAAAAAGTGTATGTGTCTGGTTTCCTCAACACGCTAAAACAATGACACACAATTGCACGTAACCAGAGGTGTGAGGCAACGCACTCGAGCCATCTAGCAGACGATGTTCTACCAGTCTCAGTTGCATCGATGTATTTAAACTGATGAACATTTTCAGCCAGCTAGCGGTAGTAGTATGCAAATATGATTTTGAACACATCACATCTGTAAACCAATCCAAAACTTTGGAGATGATCTTCATCATTCCTTCCAATACCAATATGCGCCCATCAGCAGATTGGCATTCCCTAAATGTCGCTCCCTCAAAAGCCACCTCCCTATGGTCAAAATGCTCAAGATCGGATAAAAGGATTACAGCGCAATCTGGTTAAAGCCTGTGTTATGCATGGGTTTCTTGGATGCATGGAGTAGGTAGAATCAGACGAGTTATTGTGTTCCCTGTAATCTGAGCACTCATCTTCACCGAGGACTAATGAGTCATTTACACAAACCTTCATAGATATCTCTCCACGACACAGTTTGCCAACCACCATAGCTCCACCATGGCTCCACTCAGTTCCCTTCGACACCAATGTGCTGCCATCATCTTGCGCGATTCATCCAGAAAGCCAAACCACGACCATGGATGGCCTGCTTAGCATCTCGGGCCATTAATGAAACTGGAATCCAAGCTCAAAGCTCTGAAGGGTATGGATCGAGACAGAATCTGCAGACTCAACACTGTCTAGCATGCTTGCACCTGAACCAAAACGACTGATAGGATCGTGACTATGATCAGATGCATCCTTGTCAGATGAAATCTGGTTGGTCAGAACAAGTCCTCACAGTCTGCATGGTGTTTATGCAGTGTTTGTAGTGTGTCTCGAGACACATCGGATGGATTCACCAAGCACTAAGGTACCGCTGATAACAAGAGTTTTGCACCTAACCTTCGGTCATGAAAGGAAATACCAACTTATGGTCACCACTGTCTCAGAATCAAGAGACGACCGCTGCAGTGTTCCCGATGTGATAATGTAGACAAAAGAAGAAGAGATCAACATGGACCGCACAAATAAAAACTTGACGGCCAGTACACAAAAAGGGCAGTAGTGACACTAAGAAATGCTGGCCTGCACTCTCTATGAATCTCTTTCATTACATTCTCCATCAATACCTTGTGCAACACAAATCCCTCACGCCCATAAATTTCATATTGTCAAATTCAAAAAATGTGACACCTAAAATTCAACAAAATGACACCGCTGCTGCGGTGTTTAAAATTCATATTCTGGGATTCTGTGGTCGCGACATCAAGCTGACTCTCGTTTATCAAGGTCTGGTAAACCTGGTCCAGGCAACCGTGCTGAATTTTACTTGAAGTTCCAATATTTACGAAGATTAGGAGAGCAATGGTAACAGCGTGCATATGTACAAAAGCTCTTTCCACGGCGTCCACAAACAATGTAATTCCGCAAGCACCTAGATTAAGAAGATGATTTGGGCAGAGAGTTGATGAAGGCGTTGTAGGAAGATTCCAAATCAAACAACAATTGCCGCGCTTGTTGCTCATTCAACTCGTCGGCTGCTCCCATTTTGTTAAGAATTGTGATCCACTCTCTCCCTTTCACCTTGCCTTCGAAATCAGGTGACAATTGCGGTACCCTACTCAAGGAAGCAACCAAATCAGAAAGAAGAGGATGGACCTGGTCCACGGCCACCATATTCAGCTTCAAGCTGTCCATGGCAGTGATATAGTGCTGGACACACTCTGCTACGGCAACTGCTGTTCCGGAATCCGAAGATGCCGATTTATGCTCTACGGTGGCAGGAATTCCAGAAATTATGAGGCGATTGGCCGCTGCCGGGCAATCCATTTTGTAAGCCTCCATGAATCTCTCTACATCAGGTACAGTATCTTTGAGCGTTGTCTTTAGGGTTCTGAACTGGGCGATGAGCTTCGCACATGCAGGTTCATACTCCTTGGCGCTGATCACATCGCGCACATATGCCTTCTCTAATTTCTCCGTGGTTTTGATGATTGCGAACAAATCGGCGAAGTTGTCATACATCTCTCGCTCTCTTTTGTCTGTCCATAGCTTCACCTCTTTGTCCGGATAAGAAGCCATCAAACTTTCCTCGATATTCCCCCCTCAGAGCAGCACAGCACAGCACAACAGCACCACCCACGGCCACAGCACAAGCAAGCTTCAAATTCCTCGACAAAAACTCGTTCCCGCTGCACACAGAATCTAATCTCGAAATCACAATTCTGCACAAAAACGATCGCGCTCTGAATAGGACTGGCAATCGGCAGATTGTGCCCCAAGCAAACAAACCAGCAAAGCAAGAACAGTCGCTTCAGAGCCACACCAGCGCTGGACACCGGAGGGCAGCAGTAGCACGGCCGAAGAAGCCTTAATGCTCACTGTAGGAAGAAGTCATGGACAGAGCGAGCAGCCTTTTTCTGTACACTGATGGATGTCGCAAGCTGATGACGAACGCCGCAACAGGAGCACCTCCGTGTCCGTTCCTGGAATTACCACAGTTGCCATCGAAGCCACGAAGTTAACCGAAAGAATTTGACTTGCAACCCACTCGTTCCTACTCTTCCTCCTCCTATCGCATAATAGCTTGGCCTCACAAGCATCCATAGTTCTAGACTGCATTCCGGCTCCATTTTCTCCCATGCCCTCCCTTTCTCTATTTGTAAGTTTGCCTTCAACCATCGCCCATCCTGCGACCTCACACCCGATTCTCACAAACATGTATTTGAAGACCCGAATATGAACCGATTCCATACCTTGTTCGAAGTGGAAAAAAATCTTCATTTTAGAGGTTTTCTTTACCATCCACAATTATCTGTGGTAGGGTTAGTGAGGACTATGGTTGGCTGGTCGGAATCCTGAAAATAAAATTTGATGGTGCAAAAAGCAATAATGATTTGTGGTGCAACGCACTTTGGAGTTCCCTTTTACTAGAATAATCTAACTGCTCTACAATTTTTCAGCTTTCTAAACTAGAGTCTTGGAAGAACTGTGTGGCTTAATCTGCCCTTTACCTCTTTCTCTAATATATAACTCCGAATACTGTGATGACGTCATCTGACTCTGATATGAGATGTCAATTCTAGCCCTCAAGACAGATCCAGTCAATCTCCATTTCTATGAACAAGAGTAAGTTGTGCGAGTTTGGAATTATGATATAATGATTCATTTGATAGAAGAGACGAATCAGTCCAGATTGGTAGTTCGAACCTTTTGCGACTCCTTTATACACAAACAAAAACTGTTGATGGATGTGACTCACTGAACAACTGTTGATTATAATCTATCTGCTCTTATCGTCTTAACTTATTATAGAATATTTAACTGAAGCATGGGAATGAAAGAAAACGATAGGAAAACTATCACAAAGTAAACACAGCCAGGGCAAATGAATATCTTGCCAGAGAGCCAGGGGGATGGAGAATGAGAGGGTACTAATACATTATGGTTCATAAGTGTGCGATTAAATAATGCAATACCCAAAGTTGTCACAAATAATATCACAAACTTTGAGGGAATGAATGACAATGACATAAGTTTGGCAAATGTCGTTTAAGTAGCAGCACACGGCGAGGGCCTCAATAATTATATTGCTTCTTTCATCATCATGCGACCCAAAGTATTATCTCAGTTGTCATATACTCTAAGACATTCGTTAAAGCGTTGAACCCGGAAACAAACTCGAAGTTCCTTCAACAGATCCTCTCTCCAAAGCTCGGAAAACTTCCTTTGCAGAAGTTTGAAAACAGTCCCACATAATGAGAGACAAGAACTTTCCAATCACAACAGAGTAGCTGCCACAAGTCACCATCACATGACACCCTCAGAGAGAAAACATACGAAACTCTTCCTTGATACCAGAGCACACATCCTTCTCGGCAGACGACTGGATCTCCAGAATCAGCGAGTACAGCCCGTTGGGCAGGCAAGACCGTTGGACGCCCCGTCTGCATCAGTCAACGGTCAATCGTTCGAACCTCGAACTGTCTTTGAACGGGAGCCAAGGGCAGTTGAAGCTCAACATAGAATTCCACACATCTTCCCATATTCGTTTCAAATTTGAATTCGTCGTGTCGCAATAAGTGCTTATGATGCAGTACATGGGATCTGTGGATTCTGTACGACAGTGGGTAGTAGGATATGACCACATGCATGCCAGAAGTTTAGTGGAGCTTAATGCATGTTACGAGACGGGTGAGAAAGTCTCGATTCTTTCTCAAGATGACTCTTGCAAAATGATGGTAACGTGCATTGCATTAGTTTCCCAATCTTTTGCCAAAGCTGAAGACACGAATAGCGTGCTTGGTCTATTGCCTTCCTTACCATTTTTACTTCTCAGCTTGAAGGATGTCAATAACTGGAAACTGTATCGAGGGATGGCCAGTCAGTAAAATTCGTACGAAACTACAACAAGTACACAACCACATGTATGCTTTTGCGTCGCCGCTCGAGGATTGGTACTCGGGGGCACTAGTCAGTACATCACTTCCCTAAGAGTAAATGTGCTTCAAGGATACTTCAGTGCATGCTTCCACCATTCATTCGTAACCGCTCACTGACCCCTGCTGAAGAAGTCTAATGTGGGTCACAATGAACCAATGAGCACTATAGTAGCAGTACTAGCCTCCTTCACCTCCGGAAGTAATGAGGCTGTGTGCGGTTTTGATAAGCTACAAAGCACCTCCATCTCAAATTCCAGTGACGTCTGCTCAAGGACCTCATGACTTCGACGTCCAAGGTTGGAAAGGTGGAAAACAATGAGAACGGTTGAGTGGGTTTTGCAGTGACTTCGTGGCTAAAGTCACCATCACGACTGTATCTTTGTCAAGACTAAACAGAAACTGTATTCCTTGCAAGTGCTAGTTATTTATCTGGAAGGGTTCTTGTAAGAGGGTTTTCCACATTAAGCTTTGAACTTGCCACAAGGCACTGGAGGACTTTGGGCCATACAGGCGTAAAACAGGACACAGACGGAATTTGGAGTCTTGGATCCAGCAGTCCGCTGGATTACCAAGTATTACCCTTGACATGCTTCATCTTCGAGTAGAAAGTTCATTGATTAGCAAACACATTCGCCCTTTCATAGAAAACGTCTGTACAACAGGAATATTGTAATAATCACTTGTCCACGTTGACAGTGGGCTTACTGTAAACTCCAGTTACAGATGTCATCTACTCGCGGTCTGCAGGTATTGTATAAAAACTACATACTAAAATTCAGATGTCAGTACAAAGGCCTACGATCTATAAGATGCAAATCTTAATAGCGCGAGGTGTGTTGTGATTCGACGACAGTCTCTCTTTGCAAGGATAGGGCCAACTCAAAAGGTCCAGGCTTCATTAACACGTTAGCTCTTTCGCAATTCCAACTACTTAGATGCTAAAACATACAAGTCGTTAGTTACGCTGTATCTCCTCTTATGACGCATAGATAAAACAGCAGACGTAAGAGAAATGCATGCGACTGAAGATGATGACTTGGAGCAGCCGAATGATAAGCAGTTGGTCATGACGCCGTGTGTAACGATTGAGAAATCGTCAAGTCCTGCAATCCTGCTATGCCATGAGCCTTGGAATTTACTACTATCATTTAATGTTGGCAATGTGGAAGAACCTGCAGTTTTCTGCAGCATAATCAACAAGATCTTGACCGATAACTCTGATAGCATCGTGAAGAAAGTCAGAGATATGGATACGTGCTCCAAAACCACTAGAAGATACTTACCACACAGTATTGCTCACTCAAGAATTAGTTTCCTAATTCACTTCTAGCTGTACATTCGCCCCAAATGTATCATTACTTCGTTCAAACCTACAAGTTGTGTATATTGTATCCAAAACCTGACAAGCGTATCCATGATATTAGATGAATCTTTTCTACAGAGCTTCCTTATCTGGATCTGAGCGCGCAATTTTACAAATTCGTGAAGTATGCTGATGAGAGAAAATCACCTTGTTAGAATCCTCATAAACATCAAACTTTTTCCATTTAGAACACCGAGCTCCGATAACAAACACTTAACGTGAGCTGTACCTATTTCGGAAGGAACCAGTTCAGTACTAAATACAGAATCAGTCCCTTGACCATGACGATAGGTCAACTTTTGGCTGTGACCAAAATGCTTCGTCCACTGGTGTACTGGCTCTGAAAAGTCAGCCCTACGTACGTACAATAGCAATAAAGTTCACAGATCAGATTCCAGAGCAGGACGAAGACCAGTGCGTAGCGAAGCTACAAACATACTGCTGGACCAATTTCCTAACATCGACATCAATGTCTTCGGTAAGTTAACAAACAGGCCATGTTTCTTTGATCCATCAAACTGCATCGCTGTGCAAACTTCCAGCCTGAAAGTACCTAACTCCAGTTCAGGTTATGTTCTGATATAGATATCCAACTTTCAATTGGATACACCAGAATGCATCTAACAGCCTGCCAATTCAGCTCATGTTCCACCCCGATCCCTGTACTTAATACGTTCTGTTGACATTCGTAAACAAGGTCCATCAATCAGGCAATGCCCTTCTAACCGTGTCATCACACCTTTAAGCTGTATCTAGTCCCGCAATATCAAAATGATCATTTGACAAGACACATGTACCAGCTCCAAGAATGGGGTCAGCATCAAACCGACCTAGAAAGTGGGTACCTTTGTAATCGCCAATTCCAGGTGTGCCTGGCTGATGGAGTACCAGAACTTCTTCACAATCTTCCCACTGTCAGTTCCAAAGCCTGCAGGTCGGTGCTCTGAACCATCAATCAGTTTCTTTCGCTCTACCCTTGAAATTGAGGACAGACCTCAAGATTCTCTTCGATAAAAACCTTACGGTTTCCGCTCGTTGTCCAGATCCTTCCTAGCCAGCTGCTCGCGTTTTTCTGTGAACTTTTCAAGAGTGCTCCGGACAGCGTCTCTCCCAACCACAAGCAACCTCGTGATCGTCTCCGGGTCCTTTTCGAATCGAGCGGCTTCAAATTCTCTCCGCGCGCTCAACTTGAGAACATCCTTCCACATAACACCATCATCATTCGGCCAGGTGAAAATTCGAAGCACACGCAACACATCCCGATACAACGCCAACACTTCACGGCGCGTGCTGGTGATTCCGATCAAGGGCTCTCCTCCTTTCGGTGCCAAGTGCTTGCCCAGAAATTCATCCACAGGCTCATCGGATCCGGACTGCAGCATCCGACGCCCTTGGGCCAGATATCCCGCGCTCCCGAGCTTCCATCTCTTCGTACAACACGCTAAAGCTAGCGCCATGCGGATCTCCTTTCGAATCCTCTAAGAGCTCAGAGCTCAGTCTGATGTGACCTCTCAGTCTTCAATTTGATTGCCTTCCTGCCTGAGTTTCGGCCAATCCACCTCGAGAGTCAAACGAATAATTCACTGAAACGTACACTAGACCACATGACTGACTGCCACGTAACGTTCATAATTCATCGCACGAACGTGAACATGTTTCCATATGTCATGTGTCTACTAAACCCTAATGCTTTGATTTGAGTTCTATAACTTGACATGGAGTGTTATGCCATTCTTCGTGAATATAAAATAATCTTTGTTGCAAGAGATGTTTTTTCTACTGTATTGATGGCACTTGCTATTTTACCCGTTCACTTCATTTGCATATGATATACATCGTTGAGACTCTTAGATTTTATCAAACTATACTTAAATTACTACAAGGATTATTCACCTCGAACTCTTTGAAATAAAAATGTATGATGTGGTACTACTATACTCATTATCTTCATCCTTTAGAGTCATGTAATTTAAATTCATGAAGTACATATTCTACTGTTGAGAGAAAAATCTAATCAATCCCTCGTAACTTACACATGACATTTGCTAGGATGTATTACATGTGCATAACCTTCTTCTTTTACTTCTTTCTTCTACTCATATGACACAATGTGTATTTTTCTTCAATAGTGATTGTCACTTAACCTATTTAGTTTATAGTTGTTTCAACTGCATATTTATCACAATTGACAACCTTTGTTATTAAGATCACTCACTCCAGATATAACATCATCTAGCTATGAAACTTAAAAAGAATTGAAGAAAACTTTCTAAGTTCCAAAAATTCACACAATATGATAAAAATTCTTGATTAGGTAATCAAGAATTCATTCATACTTATTCTCAATATATTAATATAGCTTGATGATCTTTTAGAAATATATGTTGTTTTACAATAAAAAAAATTTTATTCACTCTTATTAAAACATTTTTTGCCTAATATTTAAAAAAAATTTAAGTTCATAATTAATAATTGAATTTGTAATTAACAATAATATCTCCATCAACATTAGATTACGTAAATTTTTATATTAGATAAAATTTTGTGATAAATTCTTTCATTATAGATTGAAAAAAATCTCATGGAAATATGACAATTTTGTTGCAAAGCATTCATGCTTCAATTTGTTTTTTCAGTAAATTTTTTATCATTTGATTTCTTTTGATACTTGTAAGATAAAATGGAATTTTTTACTATTACTTAGACCAGTTATTGATTTTATCAAACTCAGAAAATTTATAACGTATTGCATTATCTCTTTAATCAAATTGTATGCAATATATATATATATATATATATAACACTAAGGATTCAATTCAATCATTTTTCCTAAAAAAATGATGATTATATCTGATTATCTTATAAAAAATATCTGTATCATACATAAATTGATGAAATGTTTGTTAAAAATTGTTCCTTTAAATTGATTACATTATTAAATATCCAATGATAATTAGTGTGTGTCATACATATTAACGTTATGATAAACAATTAGCAAATATGATATTCCAGAACATATTTATTGAAAAAGATGAAAAATTTACTCATTCATTGATGTGAATTCTTAATCACAACCTTCACGGAAATGACATAATACACATATGCAGCTGCTAGACTTCAGAATAAACAATGCAGGTTGACTAGTTGTAACACATTCTAAGAGTTACAATACTAAGATCCTCATAAAAGTTTAAATGTTTATATGGGATGTAGGAACAACGCAATATATAAAGATGACTTTTTGGTATAAAGCTATACAAGATCTAAGTTAACTAGAAACTATTGAAGTCATAACAAATGCATTTGGATTTATATTCATATTAAGTTGCAGCATTAATTATAATTACAGAATCTCAATTATTTTGTAATTTTTAAAAGATTTACGATAAAATATAATTTAAATTTTTTTTATTGTAACTATTTTTTTAAGAATTAAGATATTTCTACACATTCATAAATAATTTTATAATTAAAATTTTCATATTAATTACTCAACACTTTTTGAATTTTGATTCTTATGAAAATAAAAAAAATATTCAGACCAAATTATCAATAGTCTTTTATAAATTTTAAAAAATTTGTAACCAAATTTATGCTTCTTATTCACTTATTTATTTTTAAAATTTTTTTATGCATCGAAATAATTAAATTATAATATTTTACAATATCTATTTTTTATTTGAATCTTTTGCACAGATTTTAAAATTTTAGTTGATAATGATTGAATTAGTATGATATATAATAATAAAATCTTAATAAAATCTATGAAGAATTTATGGATTACTTCATTTCCATACATTGAAACTTACAAAAATGCAGATTTTAATTATTATTTTTTAAATTCGAAGAAAATAATTATAAATTTCTGACATGATAAAAATTTTCAATTCAAGTACACCATTCATAGTAGCAATACTCATATATTAGTTGCACAAAAAAAATTTGTTTGCAATGAAATTAACATGAAAATTAAGTTACATCAATCTAATCCAAACTTGAGCTAATATTTCTTTAACACAATAAAATTCAACCTTATCTTAAATATTTTTTAACATTAAATATAAATTTACAGTTTAGATTTTGATTTATAAATTTTGAAAATAATAATTAGAAAATAATTCAATCTCAATCTAAAAAAATAAATTTAACAATATCTGAAGAGTTTTTGAAGTGTTTTAAATTTTGATAAAATCGGAACTGATTTATGTTCTTTGATATAGATAAATTTTTGGATTTGTTCTTCTTTGTCATTCAAGTGAATTTTTTCATTCTTCATGAATGTTGTTTCCACAATCTCAAAGTTTCATTATGTTACATGACTAAAAGCATTAATAAAAATTTATCATCTTCCATCTAACATTACATTCATGGAAAATCGAGGGGATGAACAATGTATGCAATCTTTTCTTGATGTGATAATCAAAGTATACAATGAATGAGGAAATCATTGATTATTTCGTTAGATTTTTTCACTCATGTTTAAGTATTAAATTCTATACTGTTCATAACATATAATATTGAAAATTTTCTTTAATATTTGTATGCATATAGATATGTATAGAAAGAAGTTATGTAATCTAAATTGAATCACAATGTACATATTGTAAAAAAATTTGTTGTTTCAGAAATTTGATTTAACCACTACTCCACAAATTTCTAGCATAGATTTGAACATCAACAATTTTAATCTCGAAATGTAGGAGAGTTAATTTTATATTGTTTCATATATATAACTATCATAGTTTAAAAGTCAATGCTTTATGAAAAGTAGGTACTAATGACTTGTATGACTCAGTCCGTAATCAAAACACAAATAACAGAAGTCAATTATACCATACAAAGTGTTGTGATGAGATGAAACGTTCATCCATGAGAGATCTTTTATCTTCAAGACACCTATGCATGAGAATATGGTTATTATTATCATATGTCGTGATTGCACAACATACAATCTCACAGCTAGAGGTTCAATCCAGACTGATTGTGGTCAACAAAAAGAGGTCCCGTGAACCTAAACACAACTGGAGCCTGCGTTAAAGTCAACGATTTATTACTTTAAGTGAGAGTTGCATGAGCAAAGAAAGCGCAAGATATTTTCGAAAATACACGTGTTTCTTGACTTGACTACATAAACATAGATCATGTATTATCATCATCAACATGAATAAGACATCTAAACATTCTAGTAATGATGTACAAATATGTTCAATGACAACCGGTTCATTGCGATGATATGGGGATCTACAGTTTTCTCCTTGGACCATATTTATATACTTCAATAATAGAGTTGAGACGTTACTTTTCCATCGAATAAATTGGTTTCCATTGTAAATGTAAGGCGGAGTACAATGCAGTATGGTCACACAATGATAAAAATGAATTGAAAATTAAACGACAGTATGTGTTTTTCTATCAGAGTGAACACCTATTGGCATTTTAAGTAACATAAGATTGATGGTCAGAGACGCAGAGATTTCGCATTTCCAGTTCAACTCAGGTACAAGGTTAAGACCTGTGAAACAAAGTGTCCGAATAATAATCTCATGATCAGAGTGTCAAAAATTAAATGTCAGGAGAATTGAAATAACTGAAGGTCGTCAACGAATGTCGTGTGAGGAGGCAGGCGGTCCTCCGATGGCAGTCAACCTGAACCGTACCGAAGGCACGAACGTGACCGTTGGGGTAGAACGACGACCATTCGAGGAAGGTCGTCGCTGACAATCCAGCGCCGCTGTCCTCGATCGATGCACGCACAGACGATTCAGAGTATGATTCAGACAGCGCGAACTTTCTCTCTCGAAGATGCAACGACTGCACTCGACTCTTGAGGTGTTGTGTTTTCAGCCGTGGTTGGCAACTTCGCACCAATGAATTACAGTCAGTGACAGAAGAAGAGGGAGTCTGAGACCGGGCTCGTCGATGGGCATGGCATGGCCACCAGAGCTCCCTCCCTTCTCGTCCGTCTAGAGATTGTGGGAGCAAATCCTCACCTAATCCATCTAATTCCATCGCTGCCTATGTCCTTCCTGCCTGCCTGCCTGCCTAACTTATTCGACCTCACACTCATGAACTCAACTACGCAAGTCCTCTCGTGCTTTACTTGCTAATATCACACCTGGCTGCTGCCCGTCCTCCCTGTGAGTCTCTAATCTGGTCGGAGGATATTCGTTTGTTTCCGCCTCGACTGCGCTGGCCTGATTTTCACAAACCATGCGCGCAGCTGTTTCTAAGTTTCAGCGAGAATTTACACTCAAGGGTTCCATATTGCACTCCTGTGGAAAAAGAGGTCGAGGAGAAGAATTGGCGAAATTTGATAAAACGAACCATCAGCTTCGGCTTCGCGTCTCACAAACAAATTGGGAGAATTGTCGATCGATTGGAGGTAAAATTTCAGCTCTCTGGCTGGGCCCCGGAGAGCTGAGGTGAACAAAAGTCCTATCTTCCGAGGCAGCTATCAAAATCCTAACTCTAATAGAAACTGAGCTGGCCTCCATCCGAGCCTGTCCGTCAGCCCCAGTCGGGCGCAGTGAAGGAATTCTGTGGCAGACTCGCAGATCAATCGGAGAGTTGTAGCCATGCGCCTGCACTGGGGACGCCCTGATTGATGGCGAAGAGCATGTAGTAGCTGGGAGGAGCCACATTTCTCGAAGGCGGCGCGAGAGAGGCGATTTGGTATTGGTTGCTGCCGATGGCGACGGGAGAGGTGGCGCCCAGCGCGAGCAGCCTCTGGCCTTGGGAGAAGGAGTGCGAGGTGAAAGGAGCGCTCACGAGCGAGAGGAAGATGTTGCCCACGACGGGCACTTCCACCTGCACGATGACGATGAAGCCTCGGCCGTAGGTGAGATTCGTGGGCACTTGAATGAAGCTCGGCTTCAGGACCGACAAGCTCCCGGCCATGTAAGGAGGCGAGAATGCCTCCACGCTCAGCTCGGTCGGATAGTTCCCGTCCTTGATCGGATTCCCCACCAGAAACGTGTACTTCGCGTGCGGATTGCTCCCTGCCACCATCACTCTCCCGTCCGCCATCAAATTCGCCGTCGAGTGGTACACTCGCGCTGTCGTCGCTGCGCTCAGCGTCGAGAATCTCACACCTGTCCAGTTCCGCCACCATGATTTCCATCAGATGCAGAATCGATAAAGCTCAGACAGAATCGATAGAGCTCTCGCATCGAATGTTTCAGAGAGATGCAGACTCAGACACAGCAGACATGTACATCCGACGAGTGCATCAGATGCTCGGAGCAAAAATCATACTCAGACCTTCGTTTCTCTAGAGCAGCAGAAACTCAAGTCACCTCTTCTCGGGAATGGCAACAGAATGTTCAATGCAGAGTGTAGAATGCTAAGCTTGGATTGGAGGCCGCTTCCATAGCAGACGAGACATACCTTGAGGAGCATTGGGCTCGTAGAGAACGGGGTTGAGAGCAGGGTCGAAGGCGTTGCTGAATCCCTGAGCACCGGCCTGGGCGCCATTGATGATGAGCACGCTTCGGGTGGGCAGCAGGACCATGTCGCCCATGTTGCGCCGCAAGGGCATGGTTTCCATGGCCCACGAGGGATTCGGGTCCGTGACTCGCATGCGGCCGCAGGAATCCGAAGCAGGGAAGCGTCCGGAAGCATTCTTGAAGGCTCTGAAATCGGCTCCCCCGCAGATCAGAATGTCCACCACGGCATAGTTCGTCTCCGACGTCAGAGGCAGCATGACGGACGAGCCTGCCGAAGGATAGTTCCTCGGCTCTCCTGTGATGTTGGGCAGCGTTCGCACCACCGAGTTGCTCGTGTAGTTGTAGATGATCGCCGCCTTGTTCGCGAATATGAACAGCGTCCCATCGGGAAGCAGGTGCACGTATGGGTACAGATTGTCGCCATTGGAATCCTTGTTCTGAGCCAGGAACGGCAAAGACACGAGACCTTCGCCTCTGTCCGGGAGAAACTCGACATTCGGTTCGTTCAATCCTCCCACGATGATCTGCCTCCCGTCCGGCAGCAGCTGGTTGGTGGCATACCATCTATCGGCCTGCAGACTCACGGTCGACGATTCCACCCAGTCGCACTCTCCTCCTGGTGGGCACGGTGCAAAGGTCCTCACCTGAATTTTCCACAACTCTCACCATCAGCTCAATCAATCAATCACCCACCCCTCGCGCTCAAATCAAAGTCCACGAACGAAGATTCCCAACACTCTCAGAACTCTCTGCCCCCATTGACGCAATGCCGATGAGGATAGCTTCCACAGCTGATGGACCGAGAAGGGGAGACAAGAGTGAAGAGAGCCATGGCATATGCTGGATTCAGAGCATCACGCACGCACGATGCAACAAACCTGAGACGAATTCCTGAGATGAAGAGGAGCTCACCTTTCTGGAGCCGTTTCCTTGTCCTCCAGTTTGGATGAGAGTTCCATTGGGGCCGAATTGACCAGACGAGCACCAAGTGTCGGTTTTGACAGTGAGAGGTCTGAGAGCCAGCCCTTCGGGGATGAGGAGGACGGAGTGGGCCGTGCAATCGGCGGACTTGTTGCCGCCCAGGGCGCTGCATTCACTGGAGGTCAGGTCGATTTGAGAAGGACCACTGCTCACCCTGTCCAGCAGAATCGCATGGCCGTAGCGAGAGATGGCTGTGTGCATCGAAGCAATCCCTGCGTTCGGTACCATTACTTCCCATGATCCTTGGAGCACTTGTTGTCCTCCCACACCCGTCGCCGCCACTGCCAGCAAGCACAAGCACAAGCACAAGCACAGGCACAGGGTCGACGAAGGTCCACAATCCCCACTCCGCCTCGAACCACCACTGGCGAACCTCGCCATTGCGAATGCAGCAGCGCAGAACTCAGACTGAATATCTGAAGTTGTGGTTCTTAGGATTCGCCTCCTTCTGCGGAACTCATATCATCAAGTTCTCGAGCTCAAGCATCATTCTCATTCTCATGCTCTTTCGACGACCAGCTGCTGCATCAGAACCAGAAAGACCGAACGGTGCTCGAGCCTCCACCCCTCCCTCCCTCCCTCCCTCGTCAGATCAGAACATACTGCTGCTCACAATTCAAAGCTCGCTCTCAATGTTCCATCACCGAGAGACGATCAGCTTCGCTTTGGCACCTCCTCCACCACGTGGCCCCCTGCCACTGCCACAGCTGCTGCTTCTTCTTCTTCTTCTGAACATTTCTCGAGCTCTCCCCGTGCCGCTCACCACGTTCGCAAGCCACCACTGCAGCAGCAGCACCCAGACTCAAACCCTGCGGCGAACGAGGTTCTTAAACCACAGCAGCTTCGGGAACCCGGGCAGCCAATTCTGAATCAGCAGCAGCAGCAGCAGCAGCAGCGAGCTGGACTGCACTGCTCTGCAGCAGAGCTGCAAGTCATATCCGGCCAGAAGGACAACTCTGAGAGAGAGATTTTCGGTGCAATTGAAGGACAAAAAGGGAAAGAGTCGTTGGATCACCTGAAGGTGCGAGAAGGGTGTTGGGTTGAGGGAGGGGCTGATGGAGAGAAGAAACACTGTGCACTGATGCGAGCAGCGAGTTGCTAGGCAGCAGTGTGAGATGCGAGAGCCCAAGACGGAGTTCCAGCAGATAGGAGTCGTAGGAGGGATGCTGCTTTAGTGTAGTAGAGGGAGAGGGGGCACCATTGAGAGCAGCAGGTTCACTTTCGAAGAACAAGAGAGAAGGGAGACCGTGAGGTGGGGCCCTTGGAGGAGGAGGAGGTCGAGGGAGCAACTGTCTGAGAGTGGTCAGACGAAGAAGACAACAGAGACAGACGACGAGGTTCCGTGCACTCCGCTAACTAAAAGCAACACAACCACCTAAGCTCTCACTTCCAGATCTTCCTCCCTCTTCCACCCCGTCTAGCTCCAGCTCCAGCTCCAGCTGCAGCTGCAGCGAGCAAGCCAGCACTCTGGCGAGGAAAGGATTTTATATATGCTGTAGCTTCTGGACATGCTGCCCCCGATGAGACCCGCAAGAGACTATGGAAGTAGTAACTGAATCGCAGCTGCTCAGTGAAGTCGAGCTGACTCTGACTCTTGTACTGCAACAAATTCAAACCCAGCCTGAGAAGGAGGAAATTGATTGGAACTGCCAGATTTGCGGCAGTCGAGGTGAAGCGTTTTGGCATCTTTTATATGAGCTCTCTGCTCTTGTCTCATGACCAGCCAGCCAGCAGCTATTTCTGTGCCTCGGAGGTTACACTAATCAAGGCCTTCTACAACCTCTCCCTACTGTAGATGCATACAGTACAGTGATGTCCATCAAATCTCAAGCCCTTGCATGGGGGAAGTTTTCCACTAAAGTGCCAACCAGGTTTCTACAATTCCAGTCCTAATATGAATACTCGTCTTTATGGATCTCACGATTTGTAGCAGTTAGGGTTCTAGTCCCACGATGGGTTAGGACCAATAGAGCGGTTCAGATATGTGCAGATCTTCAACGGAATGCATCATCGGCATTTCTAGAAAGTCATTCAGAAAATCGCTTTCTACCGCCTGCAGTGCTGTCTTTGCCATTACGCCTTTAAAATTTTATTAATCTCGCCAGGATTCTTGACTAAACCTCATGGAAGCTCAAAATCAGGTAGCTGAATGGGCTATTTTCGTCATCAGTGCCAGCCTGATCCCAAAACAGACAGTCTGGGGTTATCAGGCTGTGATGGGTCCTGCATTTCCCTGCACATTTGAAACTTGATTATCTTATGTTTGAAGATATTATACACAATAATATGTTAAACTTTGAGCTCAGCCAGCAAACGAGTCAGGACCCAGGACCCTCCTCATCCCTCATCCCGTTTCGTGCTGAATCCTAATCACATGGGTCATTCTCATCCATTTCAGTGTATCTTTCGAACCAGAGAATGGTACGTGTGCGTCGAGAACTACTAGTAGCGTGCATCAAGGGAAAGGTTTAGACATATAATTCAGAGGGACGGAAAGTGGTATCTGGGTCCAAGTTCTGACGTCATTTATTCATTCTAGTGGGGCAGCTCTCCTGCCTCGTGTTTTCTTTATGGGTTTCATCTGTTGATGCAAAAGCATGAACCTAGCAGCACAAGAAAAAAAGACTACGTACACATCAACTTCGCATAATTCTGGGGACGTACAGTACATGGAACTCTAAAAAGAGTTCTGAAGCCACTGGGCTACGTTACGGAGCGAATGAAATGTCTTTGGTGTAGATTCGAGTGAATACACATTCCTCATACTGCCCCTCTCTTTATTTTCGCCATGAATGTGTCTGTATGCATCATAGGCGGGGAACATAAATTTCCCATTACTATGGTTCCAAGTGATTCTGTGAGATAGAAGTAGGGATGACACCCCATCTATCCAGTAGGGTCTCATCTTCCAATTTGGCAGCTCGACAAGAAAAATAAACAGCTTACTAATAACGAGAGGAAAAAGCATAGCCAACTAGGGGGTAAAGTGAATTTCAGGATATATTACCACTTCTAGTTTGGTCCATGTTTGTTTGTATCGTCAGCACATCATGACGATAATAATACACGAGGGATATGAGATTACATGAAACCTAAACTAGTAACGAGGGACAAGTAGTGGACATTCAACTTACATGCAGCAAAAAGTGAGTTTGGATAGACCGGAAATAGCTTCTACAGAAATCACTGAACATATCAGTTCCTGTCTAGTTTCAATCGAATGAGCTGACAGGAGAGTAGAAAGAAGGCCAGCACCAGATTTACTATGAAGTCTATTATACTGACATGTCCCAGCCGCTGATTTCTTTCCTGCTGTTCTGCGTTTATCTACATTGTATCTTTTGGGCTCTGATTTGTCTTCTAACGTTCAATAGATCTACGGATCTAAAAGAAGAGATGAGGAAGCGAAAGCAACCTGATTCTCGTCCCTTGGTCAACAAGTTGAACGCCAACATTTCACTGAAGTCCACCACAATAAGACAGCGATCCTTTCCTCGTGAGCACCAATATTCTAAAACAGTTTCACTCTTATGCTTTTGCTCAGGATTTTGCAGCAGGTGGGTTAAAACGAAACCAGGAAATCTTTTTTGCACTTACATTAGCGCCACGTGGCAGTTTAGAGGTCATGACGAAGATCTGAGGTTGATGTGACACTTCCCAAGAATCACTGAACGCAAGCATAGCACAATACTCATGAATCAAAACCCATGAAAGCCCAACTATGTTCTTATAGCCTATAAGTATAAGTTATAGGTTTCCATATACGAATGGAAATGGAGACGCAGGAAATAATAACGTGATGTAACCACATCGCGTGCTTATGACACATAGACGAAGGTGATGAGCGAAGCTAATGGGCCAAGTAATGGTAGAGAACTAATCTCTAAATCATAAATTACTATATCTACTATGAGGCTCTTACGTCTCCTACACACATATCGTTAATCTAGAACAAGCATCCCCAATCAAATTTATATAAAATACACCTCGTAATGCAATGCATACATGTCCATGTTTTGATACACAAGCCGATGTATTCATCGTATATGGGGTTTTTGCTGGATTGTGGAGGGACTTCGATGCACTTGGTGCGTGTCTCATGCTGATGCTTTATTTTATTCCATCCACTTCTTGCTTTCTTTTTCTAGTGTTTCTGCTTGGTCGCCTTTCTCATACTTTTTAAATCGGAGCTTTGTCAGTTTGTCATGCGGGTTATATTTCAACGGGAATCGATGTGCGATCTTGCATATCTTCCAAAATTCCTCACGAGCATATTGCTTTTGAGGTGCTGAATACGAGATTAATTGAGCTACAGGAGAAAGAAAACGAAAGTGTTGCATCATTCGAATGATTTAGACAGCACATGAATTGCGACCTAGCTGGTAAAGTTTAAAGGTTGCAATATATCAGCGTTCTATTTGAGCTATTCTTTTCTCAGTTCCTCACAACATATAATCCACTCTCTTGACTGGATCCATAAAAACAACAAAAGATTATCTATACATCTATATGTATAATATGCTGTCCAACAGAACTTTCCATTTCTCGTTCAGATTTATACATGTAATTATTGAAGGCCAAACAAAGACATAAATTTTTTACAAATATTCAGAATTTTGATGCAAAATGTAATGAAATATCTCAAAATATTCGCATATATATATATATATATATATATATGTATATATATATAAAGCTAATCCATCTCTAGACAATTCCTTGAACATTAAAAAAAAAATTCAAGGTGATAATTGTAGATATTTGTTACTCAATTTTCCTTTGATTAGAAATAAAATTATTAAATACCCTCTTGGAAACTAATAAATCTCTTCTAGCCATCACACGAAGTTATAGAACCGAAATTTAGACATGACCAATGCTGAAAGTGAAAAGTTTACCTAACGTGATATCCTAGTCCAAAATGTCAACTATATCACTATGTCAAACGAGCCATCCAAACACATGGCTTCAGCTCGTATGCTACGTATGTGGTCCCACCCATCATGTACAGATTTTTGCATGCCATGACAAAAGGTGGATATCTTCCACAAAATGACAATTAACATAGACCACGAAACACATCATATTATCATTTTACAATGACACTCTCTATGCATATGCTCACGCTATCTTTTATGATAAGATATACCAAAGAAATTTTCGTCCACATCACAATCATATGATCAATTGATTGCAACAACAGATCTCCAAAGTTAGCTAGAGATAGAATGAAGCAAAATATAATATGCTCTTCTCCGATACTTAAAAAATAATAATTCAGCCATAGAATATTACATGCTCATCCTTGCATGTAATAGAGCAAAAATCCACAACTCTAACTTAGAAAACCAGAAACTTTTCCATCTAAAGCCAAAAAATACAAAAATTATAAAAAAATTATAAAAACTGACTTAAATATGGATATAATATATATCATTATTACCATCCTCGGTATATAGCTCCCTAGTTTTCTTGCAAACCCAATTTAATAAATTTCTCTTGTTTATTCTCCCGTATTTTGTTATTTTCAATTCCCTTACGCTAGATCAAGCGCTGCAGCTGGAATACATGAAGGCGATTTCCATTATGTTGGGATGCTCATTTGGTTACGTGACCATCCTAATGACAAGCCATGTTTTTTTCCTACCCTGCGCGATTAAGCCACGTAACTTTTGACGTATCTTTGGACATATCTGTGCGCATTAGTTTATTTATTTCTTGGACTAGAAGCATTTGCATGCCAGAATATCTGAAACCTGGGACCAAAGTGTGTGTTATGAGAACTGGTGCACCTTAATGCCATGCAGTGACTACCATCCACACACAGTAGGGACACCTTGGCTTCCAAATATCACCTTATCGCTAACGAATTTATCCAACATGTTCCAACAGTACAAAAAGAATCGACATCAGAATACAGAGCGAATACACTTTGTAGTGTAGGAGTTAGATTCCTAAGTTAAACCCGTCCCCTCGCATTATTGTTTGAGACTCGGACAGGAGCACAAGTCTAATAATTACGACGTCATCCTCTATAAGCTTTTCTTTTCTGCATGACTATAGATTAGAAGTCTGTGCAGCAGAGCAAACATCGCAATTCTATTCTGATGCTCCTCCGCTTGAGCCAGATCTGAGAAGTTGGCATTTGTCTGACGTTTTAACTTTCCTGCCCCATCGCAACACCGCCTCCTCCATGTATTCTAGCTTTTCCTCGGGGTCACGAGATTCAACGCCATAGCAACGCCATAGCCCTGACCTGAGCTTTTCTGCTGCATGTAATGATCGGGCATCAGATCGAGAGCAATAAAAGTTCTTGCATGTAATGAAGCAAACAGTAGAACGTCATCCCGAGAGGAACATTGTTTGAAGAAAATTCTCTCAAGCACCAACTTCGAAACCTTGCTCAGGTATGAATGAATTGTTGGTTTTGACATATACTATTATTTTGGATAAACGAAAGAATGACCTGGAAATTAAATCATATCTACACATTAATGAAATAAGTATCAATCATATGAACAATATGGCTCTTCCGATTTACCTCAAGCCAATGAAATTTGCATGTAGAGGCATCGACTATTGTAGTGCCAAC